ACTAGGGTGGAGGCCATCGCTATTAGGTTCCTTTTGCTACAAGGTTGGAGGCCACAGCTATTAGGTTCCTTTTGCTACAAGGTTGGAGGCCATCGCTACTAGGGTGGAGGCGGTCGCTAGTAGGTTCCTTTTGCTATTAGGTTGGAGGCCATCACTGCTAGGGTGGAGGCCATCACTGCTAGGGTGGAGGCCATCGCTATTAGGTTCCTTTTGTTATTAGGTTGGAGGCCAGGGTGGAGGCCATCGCTTCTGACTTTGTTGGCGGCCATCGCATCTAAACACCGATGACTCGGAGGTCATGCTTTGCTTCGGAGTCGTGTTCATCACAATCCTCACCTTTGCTTTTGCCATTGGCGCTATGCCCCACGAGGTTCCAGTGATCAATATTGGACACTGCAAGTGCCATTAGGTGTTGATTGCGTGCACATGGTGCAGTTTGACCTTTGTTTTGAACTCTAGTTGCACAAAGACATCGTGTGAAACACTCTGTGAATCACTTCGTGACCTGCTTTTTCCTGGCTCCAGGTTGCCAACCTATCGACTCACGATCCTTGACCAATGTTTAATGCAGTGTGCCAGCAGTGCTCAAAGCGATCCTTTTTAGTACGCCGCTTCTCACCGCTCACCTGGACTTTCCTTTGTGACTGCTTCAAGTCACCACAAACAGATGTATTTGTGGGAGGCCATCGCTTTCAGGTCGGCCATCGCTAGTAGGTTGGAGGCTTCGTGACGAGTCCGATGAATCACTCTTTTCAGACTGACGTTGTGATACTGATGAACATGTTACATGGTGAAGCCCATTCTGACACATTGAGGACACCCTCCCACCCCCCACAAAAACATAAATGTGTTGTAAAACCGACGAAGACGGGCCATGCAAAAAAGAATCAAAACTTGGTTTGGTGCTCAGTCCACAAGGACAAGCATGACCCATCCAGCTATCAATGCCTGTGTTTTTGATTGTTTTTGGTTGGTTTACTTGCAAGAGTTTCTATGAGTCCTTAAAGTTTGAAGACATAGTTGTGGATGCACTTAGAATCTTAGAATCTGTCCAAAACATGCTTCAAAGGAGGTGGTGCTGACAATATCAAGACGCAAGGATGTTGGAAGCGTTTTACTCATGTGATGCTAGTTGTATTCACAAGGTCACAGATTATGTCCTGTGATGCAGACCTTGTTGCTGCCTTGCATTCGTCCTGCAGAAATTGGTCTCAAGCCTGTGCTGTGTTGCATTTTTTTTTTGGCCGAGGGATGCAAGGTGCGTTTAGGGTTGATGAAATGGTTCCGGACATGGTTTTGTTATGCCTTAGACCTTTTTGAATTGGGTGAAGCATGGTGTGTCGCTCATTGCGAAAGGATGTTGAATATAAGCTGATTTGTTTGTCGTGAAGAATGAACGCACAAAAAGAACTGGGAATGGGTTTTTGTCATGAGACGTCGGTAGGGTCATTTGGTCATTGTGTATAGAGGTTTCGGTTGTCAATATTGTGTTAGTTTCATGTTACATCGTTCTACAAAAGGTGTTGATGTTCAGTGTCACAAATGACTGAAACACAACCGCAACAGGACAACCCAAGCATAGGGTCAATGGACGAATCAGTCCGGCTGGGAAGGATGTTGCAATTGAATAGCATCTTCCAGAAGCTCTTTGGTCCGCCATGTCCGAAAACTCCGTACTTGCACCAAGCTTGGTGCACATGACTTCTTTACATCAATCGGACACCTCGAGATACCTGAAACTGAGAATTGATGACCATAACAATCAGAGAGGGAAGTAAAGATTGAATAAAACAGCTGGGATATTTGGGCCCGAGGTGGGCACCAATACGGACATTGCCACAAAAAGGATGCGGTTGCAATCTGTTGCATAAGCAGATGGAGATTATATGACATAATATGCGCTTTTGCGACCATATCAGCTATTCGAGGACGAGAAGATGAGACTTTTGTACATGCAACGGGCTTTTTGTTCAGTACCTGAGGCAACAATTTGGTCGCCCCCAGAAAAAGAATCCTGGTACTCTACTCATGTGGCATGAGAGTTGGGCTGGTACAATTTCACAGCCTTCAAAGCGAACCAAATGAACCAAAGAGAAAAATTGCTGTCGGGCGAGTTGTCAAAATGTTCTTTGTGCGCTCGTTCGGACATTTGTGATTTTCCGATGCTTCCAAGGAGTGGGAGGACCTCAAACACTCAATGACAAATTTGGTTCAACTGGCAGTTGGTCGGATGGATCTGGCTTCCTGGCGACAAGCTTTACGTTGTCTGCTGTGGCATCCACTGTCGTATCGGTTGTTGCAAGGAATGGTTGTAGTTCCAACTCCGAGGCAGAGATGCATGAGATTTGTGATGAATCCTTCTTTCTCATGACTGTCCTTCGGCATCAATGCAGAAGATGACAAGAGACAGCACAATAGTGTGGAAAAAGAAAAACATGTGTCCGAAACGCATCTCCGATTGTCAGGTCATCATTCTCTTCTTGCTCTTAGTCTACAGTTTCTTCTTCAACCTCCTGGTGTCGTGCCCCGTCACTTTTCGACCGGAACCCGAAGATGTTCAGATTTCACAGTTCTTGACCGAGTCTACATCTTACATCTTACTACTAGTAGCAAGGGGCATCGCTACTAGGAGCAAGAAGCTACTAGTAGCTCCTGGCATCGCTACTGGTTGTCCTTAGGCCGACTTAACCGTCGCTGAGCTGAGGCAGTTTTGCGGCGTTTATTCGTCACTGGCCGCCGACATCAAAGGCTACGCTCGGCTTGCTCGAGGAGAGGTCATTGTGGACACACTCAAGGCGCACAATTGACGCATTTTCGCACAATCATTTGCATAGCTCGTTCACAGACGTTTGATTCCTTGGAATTCTGCAAATGTCCGAAGGTACTGATTTTATATGAAAGAAAATGAGTGCAAGGAATTTTCTGTAGGAAAAGCAACTGTGGCAACAGGGGGAGGATGGTGGATGCACTTTGTGCTCTGCCGTTTTGGCTCAAGGCCATCTCCCCCGAGTTGCTTGGTACGTGTCTTTGTTGCCATGGCGGCGCGTGGCGTTGGCCTGCTGTGGTTCCTCGCGGCGGGGCCATGCGGGAGGCTATGCGTGGGCGAGGAAGACGTCACCAGGTACACGATGGGGTAGTCGAGCAAAGGATGCGTGCTCCGAAGAAGGCGACACCGAGGGTATGGGAAGTGACTGGCGAAGGCCGGCACAACAATTCGGTGAGCGATGGAGAACACATTCTCGGAAGGTGGAACCTTCACACTTCAAAGAGAAGATTGACGAGGCACGGGAAGTGCTGGAGGGATACCACGAGGAGGTGGACGAGAAGACGGTGATGGAAAGAGGACAAGGACCAGCAATGATGGAGGTAGGTGTGAACATGATGATGGAGCACCTCAATAGGGATCGGACTTTCCGAAGGGGCACGGAGGTCATCTTCATGTCGAAGGACAAGGTAAGAGTGGTCGAGAGTCAAGAGATGCGGAGGGGGAAAGAATCAAGGGAGTAAGACAAAGACCGTATTCCGTAGGGAGGCAAAGGAAAATGGAGGTCAGGAAAGAGCCGGAAGTGGAAGGGTTATGGACAAAGACGGAGACGGAAGAGTACGAGGAGACCGAACGAAACTCCAGTGGCGATGGCCCAGATCAGCGGATTGGTCCTAATTCTAATTTGGACTCAAGCCGAACACGATGGGCTGGCAGCCAAGGGTGGCCTGATGGGAGCAGTGGACGATCAGATCGAAGACTGGAAATCGGGCAGACCGAGGCAGTGCGGGGGTACTGAAGAGACTCGCCAGGGAGCCCCTACCGATGAAAAGGGGTCAACGAGCTCGGGACCAAGGATTCCACGGTTGGAAAGAAGGAAGGAAATGTAAAGGGGAACCGGAAGGAAGAGGATGAGAATACAAGGGGGGATGAAGGCGGTGGAATCTCATTGAAGGAGTACCTGATGGACCGTAAGTTCACCTTCGTGCACTTCTTGGCAGAGGAGGGCGACGACAGGTTAATTGAAGAGATGAAGAGGGAAGGGGACTAAGGACAACTCACACCAAAGCTCAAAAGAGGCGCGCTCTGGTTTTGGTGGTACTTGCCACAACCTTTTCACGAAAGAAAATGAGTGCAAGGAATTTTCTGTAGGAAAAGAAACTGTGGCAACAGGGGGGGATGGTGGATGCACTTTGTGCTCTGCCATTTTGGCTCAAGGCCACCTTATCTCAGATGATGAGGTAAGAGGGTGCAGGGTGTACTGATTGGAGTTTGACTCGAAGCCACAATAGTGGATTGAGCTAACAGAGGACTAAGGACAACTCACACCAAAGCTCAAAAGAGGCGCACTCTGGTTTTGGTGGTACTTGCCACAACCTTTTCATATCTTAAAATACACGCATTATCATTTGTTCTTTGAGGAGCCTTTAAAAGAGTTAGCCTCTTATCGGAAAGACCAGTCAGAGTCGAAGATGGTCGAAGTCCTGAAGTGTGATCTTCTCAGTCTGCAACAGATGCGCCATAGTCAGCTCATGAGGACATGCTGTTTTCCATGACTTCGGCCCACGTAAGGGGCCCCTTCGTTGAGCCACTTGTACTGGCCATGACGGCTTGGCAGGATCACTGAGGTCCTGAGAAAAGAGCGCGCTGAGCACTTTGCCTTGGTTGTTGGGCCTCCCTTTTTCCTCGAGCCCTTGAACTCCGTGGCTTTCTCCTTTTGGCTTTGCTCTTTGGCCGCTTGGACGCGCTTGCACTACGCGAGAACACCTTCTTCGCCTTTGGCCTTGAGAACGGTAGCCTCGCATAGCGCCTTGCTTGCTGGCCTTTTTGCACTGAGTCGTCGACGACTACTTTGACCTCATTCCTGCCTCCTTTGACCTTTTGGCCTTTGGCTCCAAAGATGTCCGCCGAGAAGGAAATCCTACCTTCTTGGGATGGATCTGCAAGATCATGGAGAAGATACACGCGTGAAGTGTGTTGGTTCGTTCGTGGCACCGCTGTGGAGAAACGGCGCTACTGCGCGACCAAGCTGGTCTTCAAACTTCGAGGACCTGCTCGTCTATTGGCTATGTCATGGACGACCGCTGGCTTTGACCACACCAACAGAACTCACGATTTCCTGCAACGATTAGGCTGCATCGCCCCTTGTGAGGCAGACCTTGCCCAACGCGGCAGATATCTGCCAGCAATATTTCGCTTTTAAGATCTTTTAAACGAGATTCTCGTGAAGCCATGAACAGCTTCCTCGTTCGCGAGGTGCTCCTGCTTTTGTTTGAGGCCAAGAAAGGCATTCGCCAGCGTGAGAAGACCTTCGATCTTCCAGACGAAGAACCCAAACAAGACCAAGATGATTAGTGGAACTATGATGGCTATGATTAGCGAGCTGAGCCTGGCACTTCTGGCCATGCTACAACTGCTCAAAGCTGATGCTGCCAGTCCTTCTCACTCAGGAACACCTGCTCCTGATGGTGGCGATGGCTCTGTCGGTGCAACCTCACCCGCGAAAAGACTTCAACGAGGAATGAACATTCCTTGGAGGCCGGATATCGTCTTGTACCAGAACATCTATGCCAGCTTCTCTGGCGAACTACTTCCAGGACACCTTCCACGTTCAGGAGGACTCCGACTACCAGAACTGGCACCATTAAATGCTACGCAGAGTTCGTCTCACGCGGATGACTCCTGGCATGAAGCTTGGTGGCATGACGCTTGGCCTGACTGGCATGAAGCGCAACATGGTCAAACTGAGACCGCGCCGCCTCCTGAAGATGACCCCAACGACAAAGATCTTCAGGATTCATTGCAAGCAGAGAAAGAAGCAGAGGCTCTCGCCCTTCAAGCTCAGAGGGCGCAGTCTGAAGCTCAAAGTGCCACTGCAATGCTAAAGAAGGACCGACGCTTTGGACAACATCGACCTGGTCACTCTGGCGGCGTCCACTGCATCAAGCGCGGTGGAAACCACATGGCGCGCGATTGCACTGGTCGCGGCTTTCCTTCGAAAGGGAAACACTTCGGCAAAGGAAAAACCTATGTACTGGTCTGAAAGGGATACACCCGAGCTCTACTACATGAAGGGAAAAGAAAAAGGAAAACACAACGGCAAGAATGCTCATGCCCTCACTGAGGATGGCCTCGACAAAGGGCAAGAACAAGTCCTTTGCAGCTGGCCGACCACCGGTCAACGCCTGATCTTCTACAGCCTGGAGATGAAGGAACCGATATGAACCTCCATGCCACTTGAACCTCCAGCCTGAAGCTGGGCTGCAGCTTGTTGGATCAATCTGAAGGCTGGCTATGACCTCTACGAGGATGACACCTGGGGCCGGCTTCGTGCTCTTCGTCAACGACACCGTCCTCGGCGTCTACGGTTCTCCCTGCCTTCCATATGGACTTCTGTCTCCGGATAAGAACGAGATCCTCGAGGCATACCGCAGGCGTGAGACAAGGATGCTATGGAAGGTCGACCACTTCATCAAGGAGACCATCGATAGAGAGCTCTACTAGCAGTGGCCTCATCTAACCTATGTTTGGATGGACTCAACCTCCATTGGCTCGCCTGATCTTGACTGGGACTTTTGCCGCATCGATGGCTGCCGTTTTCATCTTCGAGATTATCACGGCGATCGATTCGAAAGAATAGGAATGGGCGATCAAGACTAATGACAACTCCTTTCATGCCCAGTTCTGGGCAAAAGCGTGCTGCGGTGGACACTACCATGGTCGCATTGAGGGGGATGAGACGGCGAAGACCGCCTACTACCCATGGCGTAAGATTTTGGGCATCACAGTCGGCCTCCAACCAGCTCATCAGGTGCATGAACCTCAGCTGAAGCTGATGAAGGATCACCTGAACGAGTTGCTTCTGGCCATAAACCTTTGTCTGAACAAGAAAGAGATCGCTGGCATGTGAAGCTGACCCACTTCCACAAGGCTGCTGGCCACTGCTCCGGACGGAACCTGGCCCGCATTGTTCGCGATGTTCCGGCGCCCTACGTGTGATGGTCTGCGACCTGGTGGCGTCTCCAGTGGAAATGTCCCTCCCGCTGCGACTCACGCGCAGCTTGGCCCTTGGGAAGCTCTCGGCTTAGACGTGGCCGGGTGGACGATCCCTGGGAAAACCACAGAGCATAAATTTCTCCTGACGATAGACATGGCCACTCGACTTCGAGCCGTCTATCCTTTGCTGCCTGGGCATTACATCGCCGCCATACCATGAAGATCGAGAAATCCGAGCTGGTCATCAAGGGCATCTCCATGCATGTTGCATCATTGCGGACAGTGCCATGTCCTTCACCTCCATCAAGCTGGGTGCCTTCTGTCGAGAGCAGGATCGCGCTCCTCTACCCAGCTGAAAAATGAAGGATGGCCACATGGTGCGGTGGAGCATGCAATAGCGCCATTCAGCCAGACTATATCACCCAAGATCAAGATCCACTGACCTCTGTGTCCCTCGCCACCTCAGCCCTCGACAGCACTGAGTATGTGAGCGGCTACAGCTCTCATCAAGGCACCTTCGGTGACAGAAGAAAGAATATAGCCGACATTGTTGCTACGCGGCTTTTGTGTAGTGAATGCAGGCTGGGCATGAATGAAACAAAATCGAAGGCAAACGAAACTGCAATCCGTCCAGCGGGAAGAACTTTTTCACGATCCTTCTTGCTCAAGATTGTCAGGCGATGGCACATTTGTGGTTTGATTTCGTGATGGGTGGGAATCATGACACACCCCAGAAAGCGAAGATACAGATCGGCTGCCAGCAAGAGGCAAGCGCATTCCCGTAGAGCGGGGTGGCTTGAATGGAGGTCCCAACGG